ATGTTTTTGCTGCTGGTTGTTTTCAAAATTATAATTAATTTCGATTAGTATTTGTATAATGGGAACTAGAAGTATATGTGCATATTTAGGGACGTCATTGTCCTAATGTTTTGCTTTGGGCTGTCAGTGAAGATATTGAGAACTCCCTTGGTCGTATGCAGGATTTGCCTTTCGTTTTCACTTGAAAAGCTTCTCAACTACTACAGTCTTTACCCCCTTTCTGGTTCCACATGAACAGAAAACCAACCTTAATTTTAGTAAAACCTTCCTTCCATATTCCTTGTAATTTAGCTTTAATATCACGTGTGCTGTTGAATCAATCTCTCATACCACCAGTGGCTCAAATTAATGCGTTTTTTTTTGGGTACCACAGGGGAGATGAAAGTCTAATGAAACATCAATAGTACGTAGAAAACGCCAACGGTATACCTAATGCATTTGTAAAGTGGTATGAAAAATTGGTTAAACAATAATGATTTAATTTGTATAAGATTGACAGATAAAAGTTAAAGATCAATGTTTTACCAATGGTGCCTTGTAAATGTAATGTAATCAAGGTTCTTGATTTCATTTTACAAATAAAAGAAATATAACACCTCGAAAAGATTAACTCTGTACTCTTTTTCTTTTTCTTTTTCTTTTTAATGTTATATTCTTATTACGGTTACGAGTGCCTTTATTTTTTGGTTTATAAATGAACATTTGATTAGGGTAGATAACGAATATAATTCTTGATGGTGTGGGTAGCATGATGATTAGTAGACCATTTGAAGGCGCGGTTGGACACAAACTTCTTGTTGATCATATATGCATGATCTTTCCCAATTATATATTTAATTAGCCCCACACATCTAAGAAGATATATTAAATATTTAGTGACAGTGAGAAATTAACGTAATACCCGCATCAAATTAAGCAAGAGTACAATGTTGTTTAAACTTGAAACCAGCTTATTAAACCCTCAGTGTTTCTTTCATTGTTTTAGTACTTTTTTTTTGGTGACGATTCAACAACGTTTATAGGAACGTCACCAAACTACTACTTGAAGAAACAAAAACAATGCAACAAATTATTGCACTTTTACCCATTATAGTATAGTTTATCATTTTTCATGAATTCTAAATCAATTAAAACTATACATCTCTCTCTTTTGCCTTTTCGTATTTAAAAATGTCGTGATTCTGCATTATCATTTTGGTCCTTTTGCTTTACGTTTGAAAAGAGACAACTAATTAATTTACTTTAGTGAAGAACACTCTAATCATCATTAGCTTTCATGATTCGATCCGAGTCCCTTTATTCTTTCTTCCTTTTTTTTTTTTGATTAGTTAAGCATGACGAAAGTCAACAGGCTCGAAATCATTGGCTTCATAATCATATCCTTTACAATTATATTTATTCATTTAGTACTGTCTGGGAATACAGTATATTTTAATTTTTTTTAAAAAAAATTAAATTATTGGAACGGAGAATATCGACGATAGCTTTCTCCCAACTCCCAAATACTGTTAGCTTCGATAAAGTCTAAAGGTTTCGACAATTTTGCGTGTAGACATCGTTAGACTCTAGGCGTAGATATAGATCGATTTAATTAATTAGTTTTCCTTAATTTTCTGAAAAGTAAAGTTTATACTTTAGCACGTACGTACACTTTGTTAATGGTTGTTTATATGTTGGATAGGTACCATTTGTAAACTTTACACAGTTTAATAAAATACTAAAATTGGTGATTATGCTTGAGTAATGATAATGGCAATTTGATTTCGCATTCTGGTTGTCTCTCGCTTTCTATTTTTTAAATCGCTTTTTGCTTCGGTTCTTTTTCTTCTTCTTCTTTTTTTTTTTTTTTTGGTTGGAAAAAATGGTTCGGGGAGGTGGCGGTGGAAGGAACAGAGAGGCTACTGTCTTGTGGAAATATAATGTATGCATGCGCAAAGGACGTCCAATTAATTACGAATAATTAAAATCTAACAAAACATTGTTCGCTGATGAAAATGAATATATGAAATGATGTCGAAACTAATGATAAAGATATTATTTATATAAATCCACCGGAAGGGAGCCCTTGTCACCCAATGGAGTTTTAAATTGTACTCCCTCCGTCTCATAATTATTGTCCAGTTTGAGTTTTCATTTTTAGTTCAAATTATACTAAAAATAAAATCTCAAACTGGACAATAATTTTGGGACAGATGAAGTACAATTTATATTACCCCTCCGTCCCATAAAAATAGTCCAATTTTAAAATATACAACTTTTTTAATTTAGTCAAATTAGCAATGTACAACTCATTTTTATTCTATAAACTTCCAATTTTATCCTGATTGAAATTTAATTAGCTAATCCCTGTTACTTTACTTTCTCGGTTTCTCTCTCTCTTTCGATCGACCATAGCAACCGCCGGAGACACGCCGAATTAACTACTCTTCTTATTTCCACCACTAGAATACCGAATTATCACAGTACGGAATTTCCTCAATTTAGTCCATTCGAAGAACGGAATGAAAACAGGCCACAGTGCCTGAACATTGGAAAAATTTTATCACATATCCCGCAAATTGAAACTCAATGTCCTTGCCAATTTTAATCCAAAAACCAAAAAATTAAAAAAAAAATCATAATGAAGAATTGAAGAAAGGATAGGATCGTATTCCTGATAGGAAATCCCAAATTAGAAAAGGATCGGAGATCCCAAACCACAAACCTAGAAATTGCAGATTTCTTTTTCTTTTCCCCCTTTAACCGAAAAACACAAACGACAAATGCTACAAACTCATAAAATTATCAGATCTATTCACTTGATTTTGTTCTTTTCTAACAATTTTGATGACTTTCTTTGCGCTTTTGGTGTTCGTTCAATAAGAATTGAGGATCTGGGATTTTCGAAATCGAAGAAATTAATTTCCGTCATGCAGACGCCAATTCAAAATGACGGGTTATCCAACAAATATGACTTTAGATGCGAGGAAACTGATTGAAGATGAGGCTGAGAATAATGTATAAGTACTAAATTTGCAGATGACTGATGAAAGAGAAGATTGAGCGGCGGTCAATGTCACCGGTGACAGTGGCAGTGGCGGTGGTTACAATGTGAGGTGTATCTGGAGTCGACTACCAAAGGATTTTAAGCTTTTTGAGAAAATGGAAAACGACAAATTCACAGGAGGATATTTAAGTCATTTTATTTAAATTAATTTTGACTTTTGTGAAACTGGACTATTGTTTTTGGGACAAGATTTTTTATCAAACTGGACTATTTTTGTGGGACGGAGGGAATATTTGTATGGGACAATTAGAGTTAAGATATTATTACAATTTAAACACTATTTAATTCATTGAAAAATCACCTTATTTTGGTTTGTTATCAATTATACGGAGATAAAACAACTCTTAATCAAATACTATTAGTACCTTTATTTGTTTGTTATCAATACACTTGTTTTCGCCTTTTCGGTTGCTCTGAAGCACAGATCGTTTGGCCCATAGAAAGAGTAATTCACATATTGGGCTGATATTGCTACATTTTGAGTAAATTGGGCTCGGTTTGAAGGAGCGGCACGGTTCTTTCTCTACTAACCGCGAGAATCATAAGGTGAAGCTGTTCTCACTTTCTGTTTGAAATGTGTCATATCCGCTTCAAAATTTTTTTACACTAAATGGGGCAAGAGTCTAGAAATTACACAAACATGAATTTTTTTACACGATATTTTACCTAATAATATCATACTTTAGCTTGTACCCCTAATAGTGGAGCTTCTGACACAAATTACTTGATACTTGAGTACCTAATGGAGTTAAATAATCAGTTGCGAAATTTGTTTCATGAAACTTGTGTTTAAGTTCCACTTCCTCACGAATTACTTGATACTTGAGTACCTAATGGAACTAAATAATCAGTTGCGAAATTTGTTTCACGAAACTTGTGTTTAAGTTCCACTATACGGTTTAGGACTTTAGACAATTATGAGTCATTGAATTGAAAACAAATGATCGGACACAAGTAATACAATTAATGAGAAGATTAATAGCTAAAAAGTTGTTGCTATCTAATCATTTTAGGAATTTTTATTATATAAGTTGTTATCCTTCGACATTAATTGAATCTAAATATATCCGCAATGAACAAAGATGTCAAGACTTATGAATAAGTCGAGCTAAATAACTTGCAAGTTCCTTCTAAATTAATTAAAAAATATACCGCAATTTCTTTTACTTTCAAAATTCGATGCAATCGACTAGTGGAAATAGTTCGTAGAGAGTAGTAAAGTACTAAAGTATCACATTAAATTATGTTGATTTATGTGATAATCATTGTGCCATGAAATTTATACACTACGCTCCACTTTCAGAGTTGGTTGTCGATTTTTTTAAATTGACTGAAAAAAAATCAACATGATCGAAAAGCTTGTAAAAAAATTCCAATTTTGCAGTTTATATTGGCTAGTTATAATAATTTACTTCATATTAGTTGATAGTCCGATACATATAAATCAAATTTAAATTCATGCAACTATTTTTGGGTTAAAATCGTGTTCGTCGACTATTTCATCAGTTGAACTAAGTGGACGAAAAGAAATTTTTGATTTTTGATTTATTTTAATTATAGTATTTTAATATTCGAAAAGAATTGCTACCTTTTTAAGAGTAAATTCAATCAATAAGAAGTTAAAAGCTTATGGACTTAGCAAACTATGGTTTACACGATAATTTTAATGCGAATTTGATATCACACTTTGTCTTTATACTCTTTTGTTTTGCAGTTTCACACCATCCTAATATGATTTTAGACCACGAAGAAAATGTAGTAACAAAAGAGGAATGTAACGATAAGGTTGTAATATATACGTGACCATTCATAAGCGCTGCATCAAACAATTTGATTATCAAAAACTGATTTGGTACAGTAGAAGATAATTCTCAAACTTGAGGACTGAAGTATCAAAACCCAAATGACAAAACCATTCCTCTCCCTACTTCCTAGGGAAGATTATCATAGAGCCCGGGAGTCAACAAAGTTTCGTAGGCTTTCAAACCAGTCCGTTCAATAGTACGCGTTGGAAATAGGGGAGAAATGAGGTGGTTACGGAGTCCCAGCTCAAAGCCTCAAATTACTTCCCCGCCCATAATTATCCCGCCATTAAAAAATTAATGGTTGTACAAAATGGTCATTAAACATGTTTTTATCATAATAATAATCCTTTTTTTTTTCAAAATGAAAACGATTAATCTGTCATTCTCAACAACTACTCATTTGCAGTTTTGCAGTTAGGACGGTGCGAAACGGTTACCGCCTATCGGAGAGAGCGACATGACGGCGGCCACCGTGACGATTGACGGCGGTTCGAAAACGATTGCCGCCGTCTTCGATGTTGATCAAGCGGCTTTGACGGTGGCGGTTGACGGCAGTGGAGGAGGAGACGCTTCGGAGGTGTTGATGATGGATGAGGACGTGAAGGAGGAGGCAGCAGGCGGCGGGACTGGGAGACGAATAGTTAAGGGCCCCTGGTCACCCGATGAAGATTTACTCTTGACTCGGTTAGTTAGTAAGTTGGGAGCCAGGAATTGGGGATTGATCGCCCGGGGAATTCCAGGACGTTCTGGAAAGTCCTGCCGGCTCCGTTGGTGTAACCAGCTCGATCCTTCCGTTAAGCGCAAGCCTTTCACTGGTATTCTTTACCGCCTTCCCGAATTTTTTAGTTCAGTTTTTTGTATTTATGTGCATTTGTTTAATTTGTTCATTTCTTTTTTCCATTAATACTATTTTACTTGTATGTATATGTGTTTGCATCATAGAATTGTCGTTTATGAATTTTGGCTATGCATATGGATTATGGAGTTTCTTTCAGGCTAAAATTTAGGGCTTATATTCAGTTTTCCAGATTACACAGGTGTTTTGAAGTGTTCTGTCCTTTTGGATTGCTCCGTGTTAAGCTGTAATGGGTTGATGTCCTGTGCATTCTTCAAACTAAAATCTTAAGAAATCAAACTTTCTTTGACCCTGATGTGTTTGGAAAAATGGATGCATTAGTCTTCCGTTGCATTGTTTGTTTGTTGATCAGAGCATCCACAAAAGAAAGTTTATTGAATTCTTTGTGCCTTCAGCTGTGATTGTTATGTTTGATTGGTTTTTTGAAGGAAGAGCCTTTTTTTTTTGGGGGTGGGGATTATGGAGCCAGAAAAGCTAGTATTTAGAAAAATTTCTGGTTTATGTACCTTCCTTGTACAAAGGTGAAATTCTTTTACTTTTGTTAGTGAGCAGCTTATGGGGTTTCCGTTGTGTTGTTCATCAGTTGTAGATTGAGGACCTCATGGTAATGTTTTTCCTACTTCTCTGCCGAACCTAATCGAATATGTTAGTTTCTATCAATTTTTTGCGTCTTAGTGGCTCTATACTTCATTGAGTTTTGTTTAGCTAGGGAACTTGTAGATTGAAGAATGTTTGCATTTGCTCCAGCGGGGAGTTCATACCAGTATGCCTTCGTATTTGTGTCTGAGCTCAATTCTGAAGGTTTAGCTGCCAATGTTGTGTTTAGATAGTTAGATACTCAGGAATTGATTCTATGTCTTATTGACTGCAAAAGCTACAGTCAACCCGGTAAAATTAATATTTAAAATGACAGAAAGACTGGGAATGATGCATATCCGAGTAAAACTACCTTGTACTGTCATTCTGCTAATAAAGATAGGAATTTCTTTGTATTGAGAAGCAGGTCACACTTCTTGAGTTGTTGAAAACATTCTTTCTTTGAGACTATGCTTGTATTGTCATGCCTTGATGAATCGGAGATCTTGTTATTCCAACTATAGTTTATGCAGTTTACAATCTGCTCCACATTAGATGAAGATATGCTAAACCTTTCCATATCCAGCGAGCTTTACAATCCCTCTTTCAGAGAGTTTCCTAATTGCAGCCCATTTTAATATATCTGATGATGATGATTTTCTTTCCAGACTTTTTTTTTTTGACTGGAATCTCTTGCAGATGAAGAAGATCAAGTGATAATATCCGCGCATGCAATCCATGGAAACAAATGGGCAGCGATTGCGAAACTCCTTCCTGGTAGAACCGACAATGCAATTAAGAACCACTGGAATTCTGCACTGAAACGTAAGTTTTCAGTTCTTGCCTGGCGTAAACGCATGATTAGTCTTGATGGAAGCATGGACTGTACAAATGGAGCATCAGAACACATCTTGTCGCATGGAGATTTTGACTCTTTAAAATCCTTAAAGGAAGAATATGATGGCATTTTGGAAGAAGAACTACAGCATGCTGAAAGGAAGGCTCAAATTGATGGTGATCATTTATCTTGTGAAAACAGCCTTTCCATTTTATCTGAAAATAAGCTTCCTCCCAGCGGCGAGAAGTCCTCTCCCAGTGTTTCTCGACCTGTAGCAAAAGTTGGTGCATTTAGTGTTTATAATCCTTCTGGTTGTGATTTGCCCGTTCCTAGGACAGATCCATTGCAGGGGCCTCTGGTTCAAACATCAGATCTAGAAATCTGTAAAATGTTGGGACACATGGAGGATGAGCCTTTGATCCCTTTGCAATGCAGTTATGGCTGCTGCTCATCTTCTGGTGCAAAAGCCTTTCAAAGCTCTTTGTTGGGGCCAGAATTTGTTGACTATGAAGAAACTCCTCCTACTTGTGGTCACGAACTAGCTGCCATAGCCACAGACTTGAACAATATCGCGTGGATGAGACATGGTTTGGAGAATTCCTCAAGGGTACCAGATACTGATAATAGGGATGCAACGCCTCAGGTTTACTCTACCTCCGGGCCTATGAATGCTAATGGAACTATCTTTCAGCCGTTGCACTTCAATGAGGGGTGGCACCAGTTAAGAGGCTTAATGACCATATTTCCAGCCCAGATGCCTTTTCGGACTTGTGTTTTTTCAAGGTGAGAGGCATTGGTGACACACAAAATATTTTTTCAGCCATCTTTTCTTTCTGTTTGACAAATACATGATACTGGATATCAAGGTTTTCCTCTGATGTTATGGGAGGTTTAGAGTATATTGATCTTGTATAGAGTTCTGTTTTATTGAGAAGTGAACATGGCAAGCTGCTTAAGGCTGGATGAATGCAGCAGCTTCTTTGTGTTTAAAGAAAGAATCAATCTGCAGGTCTTAGATTTCATATCTTGGCCTCTGAACATTTTGTTTAGTGGTTAGAAACAATACAATTATGGATGTACATGATATCTTCCTCAAGTCAGATTCATCTGAAGTGTGGTTGTCATTTTTGCAAAAGGAGGATTTTATATATATATATATATATATATATATATATATATATATATATAATGGGGAAGTTTTCGCTTAGATTACGAAAAGACTAGATATCTAGACCACTCTGGGAGGGGGCGGAGGGTAGTCAAACGATAGCTTAGCTAAAACTATATCCGGGGGAGCCGACAAAATATGCAACCCCGGTGCACTAGATAAACCTAGTTTTGCTAAAGAGTTGGCAACTTCGTTACCCTCCCTTTTGATATGTGAAATTTCTAGTTGCCAATGGCGATGAATGAGGGCTCTTATACACAAAAGGACATTGCTGGACGTGAATGATGCGTCCTCTTCCGTTAGAGCATTGACAGCCGTATTATTGTCTAGCTGCAACTGGATCTTTCTAAAACCAAGCTACCAGGCGATGTTTAAGGCTGCATTTCATCTCTTAAAATATAAGAGGCACTATTTGGGATCATTGTGACTCTGGATGTCTTCTTTGCCTACATAGATAAATCTTGAGTCCGATAGATAGTTTGAGCTTATGAAGCTTATACTTCGCGGAGACAGCAGAGTAAATTTATACGTGGAGGCTGAAATGCTATTGGCGATAGATTCATTTGGAAGCAGCATGTTGACTGCCATTTCCACGATTCATTTACTCATTTTAGTTTTGGAGGGTGAAATACTATTGGCCGCAAATACAATTTTCAGTTATGTTTATTACTATCTTTGTCTGAAAGAAATAAAGAAACAGGGCACTCGGAGGGAGTATGTAGAATTGTAGATGCAATTACTAGAGTTTACTTATGCCATACAACTCTACTCTTCAAAAGATTTTTTGCAAATTAGAAGTTTTTTTGAAAACGATTCCTGTATATTAATGATAACCTAATCTATTACAGTGTATTTTACAATGATAAAGTTTTTTACAGTGCATTTTAATTTGTAAGTGCAAAGTAGAAGTTACTTTCTCAAAGAAGTAATTTTTTCCAAAAATAATCAGTTTTTATATTACTACAAGATAAGAGCACTGAATCTTTCCGTTGTAGTTGTCTCGAATTGACCGCTGTATATTTGATGACAGGATTACATGTTACAACACAAAAAAAAAAAGGAGAAAAGAAAAACGATTTTCTCCGTTCCTTTTTTTGTAATTTATGCACTCTATTCCCCAGTAGAGGCTACTAGGTTCTTATCATTTTTCATCCCCATCTCAGTTTATCCTTTGCCCTGAGCTGAAAAGGGGTTTTTTTTTTTTTTTTTGCCCGAAATTAAGCGGGTGAAAAACCTAAGAATTGGAAAGTTGAGTGACTACAATGTAAGTAAATAAAAAAAAAATGAAGAGTTGTGGTCCTTGTGGACCCTGCGGTCAGTGGCGTTTCACACTTTCACTGCTCTTTTTCCTCATTTTGTAAGCAAACGAAGAGGATGACCTGTACCAAGTTTGGTGTACAAAAAAGCTACCCTTTTGTTAAAAAGAAAGTTTCCAGTGACCTTGTCAATGTCCGTAAAACATAATAGAAGGTCTTATCCAGGTAGCCATCTTTTTTACTCTTCGAGGCTCTGATTCCCCCCGAATTAGTCAATATTACTTTACAAAAATCTGTACTAATAGTCTAATACCATAGTTTTCCGCTCTGAATCTTCTTGTTTGGAGTTATTACCGTGTTCCTGGTGCCCTTGTCCATGGGCTGAATGACAGGCAGAGGGTGAGAACCCCACAATTATTTAGCCCAACGCATACACACGGGCACATCTGCAGAGTTAACAGGAAGGAACCATCTATTATTGACTTTGGAGATCATTTTAGGGGGGATTTATTAAAGGTGCAACACAGATTCAGCTTTTCTGGTTCACATTTAATGATCTCAGTTTCAGAGGATGTTTACATGAGGATTCTCCATCTGGGCTACTGTAAAAATGACAACTTTACACCAATCAGGTGTTGATATGGGAGCTGGCAATGCTGCTTGTGCTGATAGTGGCTCCGGAGATCATTGTATTCCCATTGTTGTGGGAGAAGGAAGTAGCTATCCTGGGAACGAGAACTTGGCCCAAGAGGAAAAAAATGTTCCTTCTAGCATATCTGGGACTGGGACGGAGATTGTAGGGGTTCAAGATACAGGCAGAGAATCCTCTGTTTCGGATTGTTCAGTGGTGGTGGATCTGGAAGCTGGTGCTCAAGAGACTAAGGTACATTTGTCCAAAACTGAAAGGGATTGCAGAATTTGCCACCTCAGCTTAGATGTAGCCAATCAAGAATCTAATGTCCCCATTGAATTGGGTTGCTCTTGTAAAGATGACTTGGCTGCTGCTCATAAACATTGCGCTGAGGCTTGGTTTAAGATCAAGGGGAACAAGTAAGTTGTATTCCTCGTTGAACTTGTTCAATCCAAATTATTCCTCTCATTTCACCGTTTGAAGTCATGCTATTTTAGCGGAAAGTTTTGTTCTTTTTAGTTTTTAGTTTTCATAGCAGTATGGAGTTTTGGCAGTCGTTTTAATGTCTTTAGTCACTAAATTGAGTTAAAATAAAGTAAAGTTTATGAGCTAGCTTGGAATAATGTGGTTTGCACTTTACTATGTATTTACTGCTCACTTTTTTGTTGGAGTAGGACTCTTAACAGTGTCCAAAAGCACCAAAACGCAATGTTAAAGTCAACAAATAGGAAATTGTATCTTTGCTTTTGAACTGCATTGTACTATTAAGAAATCATTGACGTGGAAAAGAAACAGAAGGTTGGGGCAATTCCAAACCATGGAAACATTAATGCAAATAATGTACTAACAGAAAAGGATGTAAGCATTTCTGTTGGATTATCTGCCACTTAAAGTTGATATTCGGGTTTCCCTATTAGTTTTTGGTATTGTTACCAACTCATGTTGGGTTATTGTGCCTATTTCAGGCATGGAATCCAACTCGTATAACTCTAAAATTGATATCATTTCCTTGTAGCTCATTCTCATGCCCTTTTATCTTGTAACCGCAGTCCTCAACTGGACCTTCTTCAAAGAAATCCAATCTCATTTGGAACTTATTCATGCTTGCAATTATCTTACTGCTATGAGTTGTTGAGTGTATTTTGTTTGTATCCTATTGATTAATAATCAATTTAGCTAGGAGATTACACTATTTCTTCGTTGGTAGTCTGAGAATGTCATGAAGGCCCCCTTTTCTGTAGAGTCTTCGATTTGGTAGTATAACCGAGATCCCTGATATATTTAGCTTAGCATGACACTACTATATTTTTTAGTTTTCTGACTTCAGGGAAACTAAAGTTGTAACTTTATGACCATCTGTTAAAGTTGGCTAAGAAAACCATTGCATTTTTTGGTATGTACTTCGTGCTTGTTGATGGAATTATCTGAGTTTCTAGGTTAATTTGCGTGAGTATAGACTTGATATTCTATATAGCAATATGCATTTTAATTTAAAGGAACAAGAAAATGGAATCTGATATTGACTAAGATGATGTCAATTGTATCCTTTTACATTTTGGTTTTTATACCTAACTAATTTGTTCCTCTGATCAGTGCCTATTCTTTTGTTCTTTATCACTGTCCTTGCTCTGATGTCATCATTTCTTGGGTAGAACCTGCGAGATATGTGGATCAATTGCACGCAACGTTGTTGGCATAAATGACTCAGAGTTTTTGGATAATGAAGGAAGCGAGACTTCCATTGTGGCTGCTGCGCCAATACCTGTATCAGAGTCGCGGAACTTCTGGCAGGGTCATCGGTTTCTTAATTTCCTGTTAGCCTGCATGGTTTTTGCATTTGTCATCTCCTGGCTCTTTCACTTTAATATACCGTCATGATAGTCATTTGGCAGGAGGACCTTCCGATTTATCGGAAAAATGTACATTTCATTTCAGTTGAATTCTATCAGACTTCTGTGGCTATTGGCCTACTAGGTATAGTCTAGAGCGAACCCTGTAATATTTCTGCTTGTTTATAGTAGCTAGTGATTTAGAACAGATGTTGCGTTGTGCTGTATTTATTCTAATGCTTCTCCTCCTTCTTACGGTATTTCGCCGCCGCGTATGGAATGAATCAGGCTAGTGTCCGTTCACCATTGGTTGAGGCTTGGATTGACATCTGCTGGTTGTATTCCACTTAAAAAACAATGTACTGTATAATAATTGTTAGTTATGAAATTATTAAGGTTGAAGAAGAAACAAGAAAGTAGTTTGCGGAATCTGTAGCCTTTGCAGAACCTTCACTGCTGAAAGCAGCAAGTAATAAATATAAGTCAGATGTTAACCCTAGCATCATGGTATCCTCTAAACTTAGAAGTCTTACCATACGACGGATCTTCACCAACTAACTCAATTATCTGTCGTCATCTTGTTATGTCCCTTGTCAAAAAGTGCAATGTATATATAGAAGTTACAAAAAAATTTCAATTCAAACAACCATATCATGAATTAAATTACCAGCATAACAGAATCAAGTTGCAGGAAATTCCATTCGATTACTGTTCGAGTTCCAAGAGTTAAGATCAGTTCAGACTTGTGACTATCATCAAATGCAACAGCAAGTAGCAAGTTGAGCCAAGTGGGTGCACTGGGCTGAAAGTTTGAAATGAATTGTAGGATCCAAGTTCATAGCCACAAGTATGGTGGGTGGTGGTGGATTTTTTCAATGCAGGTTTTTGGAGTCCTGTAATTAAATATTGTCTGAAATTCTGAGCGCCAAACCTCTGCTTCAATACATGTGAAAACGATTTCGTCTGTCATCCCCAACTATACTATATCTGAAAGTCTCTTAAAACACTAATGGCAAATGGATTTAGGCTTAATCTTTTAGAATAAAGTAAAATAAAATAAAATACCATATCTCTCTATATTTGATGAATCTTGAGTCTATTTGACTAGCCAAATGGATGCTTTGCATTTTCTTCTCTTGTGAACACAGATGATGACGGCTGCTCTGCCTCTGCGGGGAATGGTCAATCTTACTAATTCCGCCGCGTATTGCGGAACGACTTCCAAATTGTAATATTCTGTTACATAATATATATTCACTTTATTTTAAAAGCTTCATTCACAGGGTCGTGAGTTTGTGGCATAAAATCAAGTGAATGAAGCTTTATGCATATTTACTGAGGTTACAAATTTTTTTTTTAATAAAGTATAGATATTATTAATCCATTGCTGATGGATTGTAAAATTCGGGATCTTTCAACTGGTTGAACAATGAATCAAAGCTTTCTGTGATCTTTTATGGGTTGCTGGTTTGGCTTGTGAAAGGAAACAAAAGTTTGTGTGCGGATTTACACCAAATGTCAGAAAGCCAAATAACAATCCGTCACTTTTGAGTTTAATAAGTCCACCCACCAAATTGTGCGAGTAGTTTAATTACCACCAATAAAGCTCATCAATATTTATCATCAAAATGGACCACTAATGACAGTTAAAAAAACGTGCTAAGCTAGCTGACAATGGGTTGCTCAGTTTCCAAAAGATTAATATTCGTAGAAAATTGAGTCCAAAAGTGGCTTACTTTGCCATCTTGGTCGACACCTATGTACATGTTACTTTTTGTCCTGACGGAAAAAAAAATCATCCGTTGAAGAATATGCCGCAATTGCTGCCCAAAAGTGTGTTCATTTTGTTCTTGTGCTCAATTACATTATAGTGTTCTTCGATCCGTCCATGATAATGGCCCAAAAAGAATTCGATTGTGTCACTTTAAATTCCCATTCTTCGGTGATGGAAATTCAAAGATTGTGCAACTTCTACCTATATTTTAGGATGAATCATAAAGGGGAATGTCCATATCACAATTAAAACGGAGGTTACAGCACATGTTTCGGCTACAATTAATAGTGCTGGTAGTATTCCAACCTACAACTTTGGCGTTTGCGTGTAACTTCTTCTCCACAAGTACTCTTGCGTGATTGCCCATTCAATTGAACGTCACAAGCAACACATAATATGTGCAAAAATGGCCACCGGCCAGTCTAGCAATTTGTTTCCCTTTCTTGAGTTGATTAGGGTACGTGTTTAAATTAATCGAGCGATTAGCACAAGCATCAAAGCATATACAATTATAATATCGTTCTACTATTATACAACAAATAGTGGGTTGAGTGATTTGAATTTAATTTTTCGCCCTGTTGATCGAGTTCTATTTCTGATATGAACATGATTTTGTTCAAATATATATATATATATATATATAGATATATATCTATATATATATATATATATATGAACATGATTTGTTAGGGGCGACTCTTAACATGCAGGTTAAATTTCACTCTTAAATCTTCTTAACATTTTGTCTACGATGATTCTTCTTCTTCTTTTTTTAAAACATGAATTGTGATTAGCAAAAGCTTGTTAAGATTTTGTTTGCATGATTGAACGTGCATCCATGATTAAACTACGTTATTTAAGCTGAATTTAGTACAACATTACTCATACGTGTAGAGAATATACAGCAAAAAAAAGGTACTAGTAACAACTAGCAAAACCAAATCATTTATAGGAATCCAAATCTGCAGGCTAAAACAAAAGTAATGCATGATACTGTGATATATTGCACGTTCAAACAAATTCACGAACAACCAAGAGGCTTTCTTCCCACAGCTCAATCTTAAGTAACAGATGGATTAATGATGATTACAACACGATTACTTGGCTTATGTGCCGTCGTTATTAACCAAACTCTTTGGTGTCTCATTATCCGTTTGCTCAAACTTCAAGTGTCGGTCGCATCCAAGACAATGCTATATGGCTCTGTTTTCGACAGATAAAACACAGAACTAGTACTTAACATTTTATTTAAAAATGTTATAAGTACGTTAAATTAATTCTTTTTTGGTACTCCAAATTAAGATTATTTAAAGCATAGTTAAGCTAGCTTGTTGATGAATGCAGCTAGTTCTTTGCATATTGGCATGGCGGCATGGGTACCCCAGTGGTTGCTTCTTTATTTCAAGAATTATCCTGTACAAGGAACTATATAAGAAAACAATATCTTGATTCCCCATTTTCCCGGTTATGTTCCTTCAATATTTCCCAAAATTTTTAGATTGCTTTGAATTGAGCCTACAAAAAGAAGATAAAGTTGGCCTAAAAATGGTGCATGTATATTGATGAAGTTGAATCCACGGAAGGGGAATTTTTTGCCTGAAATATTTCTGAATCTGATGAAATAAATTCGCCCTAATTAAATTCAGACTTATCAAACCGACTGTGAATTTCAATCAAGAATTTATAATATTTTCTAGGTCGATAAATAAAATTGTATTCGATAACTTGAATCATTAATTAATTAAACCATTCTCGTGAAGGATTACTATTACTTTCTTCGTCCCAAAATTATTGTCCAAGAAAAAAGAAATGAATGAATTTTACTTTTCAAAAAAAAAAAAAATTAATTAAACAATTCAACAATCAACTATTTTTCTTTAGTGTGTGGCGTTTAATTGTTTACAGTTTAGATAATCCAGCAATACTATCATTCCGTGAAGGATGTACTAGTAATTCGAAACATATATAGATCGAGGAAGGAAAATATTGATTCTATGCGTTGAAATTCATTTTGAAAATCAGAATGAAGTCAAGGGGAGTCCAACTCCCATCCATGTGTCCAGGTTGTCAAGAGAAACTTTCTTTTTTTTTTTTCTTTTTTTTTTAATTATCGAAAAGTTGGAAAAATACACTCACAGACACACACACACACACACACACACAAAAAAAACAATCAAGACGAGCGAATCCCGTAGGTGTAGGGATAACAAAAGTAAACGATTGTATTTGTTAGCTTTTTTCTTGTTTTTTTTTGTCAAAGGAAAAGAACAGGAAAGAAATCTTTTTGTAATTAATCAACCATTAGAGCAGATAATGTCCAAATTAGTACTCCCTCCGTCTCATAATTATTGTCCAGTTTGAGTTTTCATTTTTAGTTCAAATTGTATTAAAAGTGAAATTTTAAAGTGGACAATAATTTTGGGACGGAGGGAGTACAAGATTTTTCCACTGGATTCCGCAGTTTCACACCCGAAAATAAATTAGATATAATAGAAAAGAGCCAATTTAATGAAGAAATTCTCTCCCTGAGGACAAATAAAATAATTCCAAGAGAAAAGAGAGAAGGTGAGTGTGAGCGTGCGCTCACGACATTGACGAAGAAACAGCACGTTTATAAGTCGGCCCAAGGTCGGTTCTTCAAAAAAGCTTTGGTACATTTACACCTTACAATTCTCCCTTCCATTCCAAAGCCAAACCATTTCTCAATTTCCTTTCGTAGTTTCATCATTCTGCTATGCTTTCTTCCATTTTCACTTCTCATCCCTCTTTCATCACTTCTCTCTGTACTTCTTCCACACAACTTAAATCCCATTATCACATTTTATTTTATTTATTTTTTATTTTTATCAGAAACCTGTCTTTCCTTAACAAAGTTGTGATTTTTCGTGGGTCGTAATATTTGGGTTGAATGAAAATGAGGACGGTGTTGCCTAACTTGGATAGAGATGATGCACTGGATACCATTCTGGAAGTGCCCGTTCCTGAAGAGATTTTTGCTTCATCAAAGATTAAGTCAACATGGCCTAACATTAAGTCATGGATGAAATCCCACACTGAGAAATCCCCTGTTTCTTCCCTCTTTGGTTGTAAAGATACTGAGATTCAGCTCTTGATTGGTGTTGTTGGAGCTCCCCTGGTTCCACTTCCCATCCATTCTCATCATTACCTCAGCAGAAGTTTCAAAGACAACCCAATTGTCAGTCTCAATTTCTGCTCATTTTTTCACTCTTCATTCATTAGTATGTTGAACTTAGTTATTGATGATTAAAAAAATTGATGCAGGAGAATTCCATGGCAAAGTACATTGTCCAACAATACATAGCAGCTGCTGGAGGGGATGCTGCATTGAGCTCTATCCAAAGCATGTATGCTATGGGGAAAGTCAAGATGGCCACAACAGAGGTCGTTTCAGGGGATGCTTTGAATTTGAGCAGTAACAACAACAACAACAACAACAAGGAGATGAAGGTCAAAAGCATGAAGAATGGAACAGGGGAAATGGGAGGGTTCGTTTTGTGGCAAAAAAGGCCTGAATTATGGAACCTGGAACTGGTGGTTTCAGGGTACAAGATCAGTGCTGGAAGTGATGGTAAGGTAGCTTGGAGACAAACTCCATGGCATCATTCCCATGCATCTCGTGGTCCACCTAGGCCTCTTCGTCGTTCCTTACAGGTACTTTCAATAGTTTCAACTGATTCATGATTAACTACGACATTTGTTTTTGTTCTCTAGTATTCCAAATGGTTTTTTCTTTTTTTTTTTTTTCTTTTTTTACTCGAAATGGATAAGCAAGTCTTTTGTGTGTTTGTCATTAGCACATTGTCACAGAGACACACAGTGGATGAAAGTGAAAGGCCATCACCAATCACCATCCCTGTCATCTATCTGGAAAATTTGAGACCCAAAAAACCAAACCCCCATTGGATACGAATAAATGTAAACTTTCTGACTTTTGAGATTATTGTGTTATTAGGTATTAGAAAAGGTCAGGCGCCAACTTATTGACTTCCATGTTCATAACAACCCACTTAGTCTGTTCATTGTCCAGTCCTTTTGCTGTGACCCCAGCTCAATATTCCATTCTGCTCTACTGTTTAAAGATCCAAATCAACAAAGTTAGGTGCCAATTGAAATCTGTTTACAACAAAATTATATGTTAAGATCATGGTCCCAGCCTTGCTGAAAATGAAATGCTGTTACAAAAAATGAACGGTTTTTCCAATTCAAGACAGACAATGACTTGTAGTCCCCATCTATGTTGTTCCAGTTCCATACTTCCACAAGTTTTTTTTTTTTTTTTTTTTCCGTTTTTTCTCTAGTGCTTGTACATGATTTTCAACATATAAAGGGGATGACATTTGAGTGGTTTTTTACCAATCAATTAATGGATCCAATATTAAACCAACTAATGGTCCAATTCAGCTTATGTTTTTCTTCTCAAAAGTCCACAGTTGATGTTCTTGCCAATAATTAGTGAATTGAAGAATTAATTGTTATGAACCATTTCTGGAACAGGGCCTTGATCCAAGGTCAACTGCCAACTTATTCTCTAATTCCATCTGTACTGGAGAGAAGACTGTGAACGATGAAGATTGCTTTGTACTTAAGCTTGAAGTGGATCCTTCCATACTAAAAGCTAGAAGCAGCAACAACGTGGAAATAATAAGGCACACCTTATGGGGATACTTCAGCCAGAGAACAGGTCTATTAGTCCATCTAGAAGACACACATCTTCTACGGATAAAAGCCCCTGGGAACGAAGTATTCTGGGAAACAACCATGGAAACACAAATAAGAGATTATCGTCCTGTTGATGGTGTTAACATTGCACATTCGGGAAGGACGTCTGTTTCGTTATTCCGGTTTGGAGAGAACTCAGAAAGCCACACCAGGACACGAATGGAAGAAATTTGGACCATTGAGGAAATTGATTTCAACATTAAGGGATTGACCATGGATTTGTTCTTACCTCCCGCTGATTTAAAGAAAGAAGATGAAGGGAGTGCAATTGTCACAAACAATAACTTTGGACGAAATGCGAAATCGCCATTCAGGGTCAGACCTAATGCGTCTTCTAGAGTGAATGCTACAAAAGGTGTTGCAAAAGTAATGGCCATTGATGAAGATGACGATCTAGAAGTAATCGAGGACCATGATTTGTAAATTTTGCTCATAGAAATATATATTTGTATTTGTATTTTTGTATATAAATATAGAGAGAATCCTAGTGCATGAATGCATAATGCAGCTTTAGGATTTCAAGAATCGAGCGACAAAACTACTTAATTGAGTCGTTTTAGCAGAGCAAAGCAGAGCCATAACTGCTCTCCTGTAGTTGGTTAAGCAAAACAAATATGGAAATCTGAAAGGGATAAAAGAAAAAAGAATTAGAAAGGAAATCTGAAATCAAGAAAAACCTTTCAAGCTTTTCCCATTAAACACGATCATCCACAAGTTCTCATTTACAACACACTCAAAACACGACTCAGAACACAACAGAAGTTACAACGCATTCGGTTATTTTTATTATTAAAGACACGTTACAGACACAAAAAGACACCATTAAGATTTCACAATCATCAAACTTCAGAAAGAAGGAATTGAAGAACAGGCCTCATCATATCCGCGGTGAAGAACTTAGCCGGAGATCTCAATGGCCTTAACATCAGGCTTCTTCACTTCCTCTTTAGGAACAGTTACAGTGAGCACGCCATTCTCCATGCTGGCCTTCACCTGATCCACCTTGGCATTCTCCGGCAGCCGGAACCGGCGCAGGAACCGACCGCTGCTCCTCTCCACCCGGTGCCACTTGTCATTCTTCTCTTCCTGCTCCCGGCTCCTCTCCCCGCTAATCTGAAGCACTCTGCCTTCTTCAACCTCCACTTTCACTTCTTCCTTCTTCAGCCCTGGAAGATCGGCCTTGAATATATGGGCCTCTGGAGTCTCTTTCCAGTCGATCCTGGCAGTAGCGAATGCAGAGGTGTCCTGAGCTGTGTTGGATACATTGACTAAGGTGTTAGAGAAGGGAAAGCCTTCGAAAGGGTCCCAGATGTCTAGTGAGAAAGGATCGAAAACATTGCTTCGTCGACCACCGAAAAAGCTTGGAATTAGCGACATTTCGGAACAATAAATTTTGGAAACTGAAAAAACGAATAGCAGATGAGAATGTGATTGATATTAGCTTTTATTAAGACTGACCACTTTGAGATTTCAGAGATGGTTAGGAAAGTTAGAAACCGGTGATATTTATAGGAAGCAGAGTGATGGGTCTAGCGTCTTCTCGGGTCTTCTTCTCCGGCTACTGATTTCACCAAATTTGGTCTCCGTCATAAACATCCGTAACTTACGGTTCCTCTTGTACTTTCTGTAAGTTTCTACAACTTTCGCCAAGAGCCGCTACAGATCGGGATGGAATAAAATCTTTTCTCCTTTTGATCATTTGAGCAGACTTGGGCCAATAGATTGATTACCAATTATGATTTGGGCATGACAACCTTTTTTAGCCCAGTTAGCCCAGATCAAGTGCTGTCAGCTAGCTTTCTTTCCTATCTCTTTTCTCTATCAGATTTGGGCTCAATGAGGGAGGCACCAAATTATTTGGAAACTCAATCTTTAGTTTCAGGAAGAAAGATTCTTTGTGTTTTTGGCAGTTAATTTGCATGGTTTTTTTATGATAAATTTGGAAAGCACGACTTTAAGATTTGTTCTCGCAGTATAAAATACTATGTAATAATTACTACCTTTGTCCTAAAAAAAGTACAATTTAAGAAATTTAAATATTAAAATTGGACTTATGAAATTTGTATAACTTAAAATTGATTATTAAATTAATAAGTATATTCATGAAATTTCATTCAAAAATTTTCATATTAATTTTTAAATTTGTAATATCAAGTCATATAATTTTTCAAATTGGATTATTTTTATTTAACAAAGATAGACATAGGCACAAACTATTAGGCCCAATCCAACAAGATGCATGAAGAAGCCCAGTTAAATGACAGTTCTCCGCAATTTTTATCTAGATACATAACGAAGGTTGTAGAAACTTGTAATAATCTGATGATTACGGGAAATGGAATTGACAAAGACCAGAGAAGAAAATATCCGAAGTCGCTAGACCCATCCTTCTCCCTCCTAATTCTTATATATAGTGGGCATCTTCAATTTTCCACACCCCTCAGTGAAATCTCAGAAATCGTCAATTACTACTTTGCCAAAACAATTCTAGCTTTCATTCACTCTCACAAAACCTTCTTCCTAGTTCAGAAATTAGATAGATTCTGCTCTGCTTATAATTGAAAATGTCGCTGATTCCAAGCTTTTTCGGTGGCCGACGAAGCAATGTGTTCGACCCTTTCTCATTGGACATCTGGGATCCTTTCGAAGGCTTTCCCTTCTCCAACAACAACGCCCTTGCCAATGTCTCAAACACTGCTCAAGATACTTCCGCATTCGCCAGTGCCAAAATTGACTGGAAAGAGACTCCGGAAGCCCATGTATTCAAGGCCGATCTTCCAGGGCTAAAGAAGGAGGAAGTGAAGGTGGAGGTTGAAGAAGGCAGAGTGCTTCAGATTAGCGGGGAGAGGAGCCGGGAGCAGGAAGAGAAGAATGACAAGTGGCACCGGGTGGAGAGGAGCAGCGGCAAGTTCCTGCGGCGGTTCCGGCTGCCGGAGAATGCCAAGGTGGATCAGGTGAAGGCCAGCATGGAGAACGGCGTGCTCACTGTGACTGTTCCTAAAGAGGAAGTGAAGAAGCCTGATGTTAAGGCTATTGAGATCTCCGGTTAAGTTCTTCCCTGCGTGCCCTGCTCTTGATGTCTGCCGTTTGATCATATAAAATTGGGTCCGTTTGAATTTTATAAAATCACTTTGCTAAGTATGTAATCGGAGAATAGAAGTTGTGTTTTCTTCTTGTGTTGTGTCTTGTCTTTTGGTTTTTTGGTCTCACCATGTTTCCATTGTAATTATTGAATGCGAAAGTTTAAAGAGTTTGTGGGACTAAATTCTTCTGGCTTTACTTTGAATCACACTCTCAAATCTGCTTTTACGAGTTATCAGGCTCACTGTATAATCTAAGCAGCTGGTTCGAACATGATAAATTTTGTAAAAACTCATTACCACATTGATGAAAATGTTTAAAATTGTAACTTAGAAAAGGTACATTGTACTGCAAATGGTTAAGAAACCATATAAATAAAATTGATTAATGTTATCACAAATCATCTGGTAAAAAGCCTAGTAATGTTCTTTTGAATTTGAGTTTGGTTAATAGTTTACGAGTGTTTGGAAAGGATGACATTGCAGGTCGGTAATATAAAATTTTTTTGGTGGGTTCTCTTTAACTTTTTAGCTTTTGAGGGGACGTTATGGTAAATATGATTCGACCGAAGTAATACCATAAATTACACAATCGGGACGTGGGAACCAGTTTTTGGAACTCTCTGGAACTCTCCCGACTTTATCCACAGCCACGCATAAATTGCGGTCATTTTCTTCACCCGTACTTGAGAAAACTCTTTCAACAGTTAATTTTCGTATAATTGTAGTTGTAATCCACCCCGGAAATCGGAAATATGTCAATGATTCCAAGCTTTTTCGGCCGGAGATCCAACGTTTACGATCCATTTTCCATGGATGTATGGGACCCATTTGAAGGCTGGCCGTTCAACGCCGTCACCGGCGGCCGCGCTAACTTCCCCTCATCGTCCTCCGCGACGGCGTCGTTTGCCCAGGCGAATATCGACTGGAAGGAGACTCCAAAAGCGCACGTGTTCAAGGCCGACGTCCCGGGGCTGAGGAAGGAAGAAGTGAAGGTGGAGGTGGAAGACGACCGGATCCTGCAGATCAGCGGGGAGAGGAAGCGGGAAATCGAGGACAAAGGCGACACCTGGCACCGCGTGGAGAGGAGCAGCGGCAAATTCTTGCGGAGGTTCAGGCTGCCGGAAAATGCCAAGGTCGATCAAGTCAAGGCATCCATGGAGGAGGGGGTGTTGACTATTACTGTTCCCAAAGAAGAGATCAAGAGGCGAGATGTGAAGTCCATTGAAATTTCTGGTTAGATTAGAAGAAGAACAAGTCCTTTTTGATTCTTGACTTTTGGACATCTTTATTGTACTATTACTCCCCTCACTTTTTTTTTTTTTTTGGAGTAAACTTTCTTTCTTTCTTTGTTGTTTCACTGGTGGTTATGATATTGTAACTTCTACCTAATTTCATCTCTTCATTTTGTCACATTCTTTTCCTGGCCAATCACATTATTTTGTTAAGGATATTTCATTTGGTGTCACCCGATATAATTATCTCCACATTGTCATGTTTCCTGGCTATCAATGGTTGCCTTTGTTTGTTTGTTTCCTCTGTTTTACATTTTAACTCATTTTAACTTTTAAATATAAAATTCAATGTCAAAAAATAAAAAATATCATCCAAATAATTTTCTAATTTATATTTTAATTTTAACTTAAAATATTTTTTATTAGCGTAATGACCATTTTTAGAACCACAAATAGTTCAGTGACAAATTTAATAGGATTCTGTTGTTGAGTGATTGTTTTTGGAAAAGTTCTTTTTTGCAGTGACTATAATTGACAATATTTAATTATTTAGTGATGGCTTGTACTTGATATTTCAAAATATAGTTCAAAATACTTTTTTTCAAAACCAACATTTTTATTTTCTATTTAATTTTCAATTTGAAACACTTTTCACTTTTAAGTGGCAAAATGAAATGTAAGTTGACGTCTAAACAAGCACTTAAAAATTGTAAAGGAAAAATTATACTCTCTCTATCCCAAAATTATTGTCTAGTTTGAGATTTCACTTTTAGTACAATTTGAATTAAAAATGAAAACTCAAACTGAACGGAGAGAGTATTTGGAAAAATATGGAACACTTGTCCCAATTATAAGCATTGGAACACGTGTCCAACTACATCAATGAAACATCAAGGAAGAACATGGAAGGCAGCGGTTTATAAAGAGGAGGCAGCAGAGCGCATTCTTTCACTAACACCGATTGTAAGAAGGAAGAACAAAGGCATTGGGCGTATCGATAGAGGATTTGGTAGCTTGCAATTTCATGAGGTGAGTATTCTTCTATTCCAACTTTTCTTTTTTCTTTTTTTAATTTTTGTTTTTTTTTTTTTTTGATATGAGAATACTGGTTGATCGTATCACTGTACTTGAATATACAGAATCTATGCTAGATAATTATCATTACTTTAGTTGATTGGTTGGTGCTAAATGTTTTCACACCATATCGAAGGATGCCAAGTTGCCAACACAGCAGTGTGCGAACTAAGAACGAACTGATGAATGATATGGTTCTTACAGAAACCAACAATCACACTAATTTCAACACAATAATAAATCGACATTTTATTGATGATACTTTCTTGGTCTCAAGTAAACTTCTTCAAACAGCCCCCACACACACACAAAGAAAGAAGAATAAGCCTATTCAACTGAGTTAACACAATGCGTGTTGGTTGGTATGAGAAATCGACGATGTGTTTTAGCCATAATTTTACACTTACTGCTGGTTCAAATACCCCCCATAATAACAAATGTTAAATAAAGCAGATAATTACCTACGAAAATTCTTTTCTGTAGACGTTTTATAATTCTACTGTTTACCTTCGTCCCAAGAGCTCTTTGAGTCCTTGTATCAAAAGCTCTTTGTTGTAACTTTCGTACGTTATTTATTGTAGAAAAATAGTTAGCATTAATGTTTCAATTATGGTCAACTCGATGAATACATAACTACTATTAATTATTCAGAAAAATTTTAAGTGTGCAGTCTGTTTAAGTGTTTTTTATTCAAAACGGTTGTATACTTTTATTTCATTTTATGACGATATTTTAGTCATCTTAATCACATTAATTTATGAAACTGATTTTTTTATTTGGATAAAATTTTGTATGTAATCATATTATTTTTATGGAAAATAAAGAGCATACATAATAGCAACATACTATAAAACAATCATTTTTAATTTTGGTTGGGGACATGGGGTGCTCTAACTAAAACATACCTTTCACAGGACAGAATCACTCACCAGATACTATTCTCTCTCACCTCAACCTAAAAAAATGAATGCTAGGGCCAATCTCCAACCAAAATGAGAAGATATTTTGTTGATTTGGTTGGTTAGTAATTAAAGGGTTTTTTAGAGTTATGTTAATGGACTACCTTCGAGGAGAAGAATATGGGCTTAAACAATTTATTCGTTGATGAGATGATTTCTTATTCTACCTACATCCCTGATCCCACCAAAAAAAATGGCACTTTGCTCTCAGATTCTTATTTGAATTGCTTGCACTTCGCAGTAGCAGCCTAATCAGGCTTTACATGAGGACACCATTATTAAAATGGTACTATCTTAAAAAAAATGAAAAATAGGACAAAAAAGTATATTATTATAATTATGTAAATGGCAGACTAATTTATTGCTGCAGAAGAACCATTTTTCCTTTTGTGTCTTCCAGAGTTCCAGTGAGTTCACTCCCAAAACCAAAAACCCATTAAGATGTCAAGTTGCGGATTATAAGTGCAATTCAATCAGTGGAACATATTCGTTCGAAAAGATAATCGATAGTGCACAACGCACACACATCAAAAGTTCGAATATATATATAGAGTGGAGTGATTCTGGGTGCCCAATATGATCTCTGCAGAGAGCTCCGATCCTCTGCTCCCGTACAAGATGGAGGTGGAGAAAGCAGAGTCCCCAACCACAAGGAAGAAGAAACCCGGGGGAGCCAAGATCACCGCATGTATTCTTGGTGAGTTTTTGGTTTAATGACTTCATTCAGTTGATCGTTCTTTTGCTGATTTGCTTGGGTTCTGGATCGAATATGGGTATGTTTTAATTTAGCCAGTTTGATGGAAATTGATCTAAATGAGCTTGAATGTTTGATGATGATTAAAAAGTTGTGAGGAACTTGCAGTGAGAACCAACAGTATCTCTATCTTAGCTAAAATGAAATATACTTCCCTATACGAAAATAATTGTCTAGCTTGGATTTTCGTCTTTATTACACTTTTAACTGAAGTTGAAGATCCAAACTGGACAATAATTTCCGGATGGAAGAAGTAATTAGTAATGTGCAGTGGGAAGTGAGAACTGAGAACTAACTGCAAAAGTGAGAACTGAGAAAACATAACACGTCTGTTGTACTATACAACAACCAACTCAAAAACATAACATATCATATCCCCAAAGTGGTGCCAAATTAAATTATTTACTTATTTATTTTTGGTTCCTCTTACCATGTATCAGATGTGCCAATCTAGGTGGTATTTAGTCAGATGTATATGTGGAACATTTTCATTGGTCTCGCGTTTGAATAGGTGCGAATGTTGTTTTTGGAATGTACAGTAAATTGTTCTGAAAGTGTAATGTGATTTATCTTGGCAGCGGTTGAATTCTGCGACAGATTAGCAACTGCTGGATTTCAAGCTAATATGATAACATACCTGACCAAATATCTTAATCTTCCTCTGGTTAAGGCTTCAAACATCATTACCATCTTCTCTGGGACTGCTCATTTCACGCCTGTCGCCGGGGCTCTAGTTGCTGACTCCTTTGCCGGCCGATTTTGGACAATTCTTTCTGGCTCATTGGTTTACTTTTTGGTCAGTCTTTTTCTGCTTCTAAGCTTATTTATTGGCTAGATGTGACTGCATACATAAAGCACATCTTTTTTTGCTTGGTAAAATGTATCATGCAAAATCGGAACAAAAATCTTGATCCCTTAATCACATGCAAGGTTTGTTGAAATTGCCAAACTGTATAATTTTACATGTGCTTCGCATCTTATTACAGGGAATGATCACCATCACGATTTTTGTTTTCATACCAGCATTTCGTCCTCCTCCATGTCCAACTCAAACAGATTGCAAAGAAGCATCAAACTTCCAACTTGGGATACTCTACGTTGCCCTGTTTTTGCAATGTATTGGATCTGGTGGCATCCGGCCATGTGTCGTAAGCTTTGGAGCAGATCAATTGGACATGTCCAAAGCCAAAGTAGAGGCCAGAAAATGGAATCTCTTCAATTGGTACTACATGTCATTAGGATTGGCATCATTGATTGCAATAACTGTTTTAGTATATGTCCAAGACAATGTAGCTTGGAGTTGGGGCCTTGGGATTCCAACGATTGCTCTTGTTTTATCGATAATAGTCTTTGTGTTGGTATCTCCTTTGTATGTAAAATTAAGACCGCAGGGAAGTCCATTCACTAGATTGGCACAGGTAATTGTTGCAGCATTCAGGAAGAGGAATGTTGCCGCACCAAGTGATCCTAGTCAACTGTATGAGAATACTGAGCTTGATGCTGCTATATCTTTGAATGGGAGGCTGCAACACACAAATCACTTCAGGTTTTTATTTGAATTGACAATCTAATATCTGTGAATTTTAATTAGTAATTCCTTCATTGATGATTGATGATTCCAATGTTTGATTAAGGTGGCTAGATCGTGCAGCCACAGTAACTGAGGCAGACATTGATGGGTTGAACAGACCAAAAGCGTGGAGATTATCTACAGTCCACCGGGTTGAAGAGCTCAAATCCGTGATTAGGATTTTGCCTATATGGGGAGCAGCAATTCTCGTATTCGCATCTTACGCCAACCAGCACAGCTTTGCTGTCCTGCAAGGTCGTACAATGGATCGTCATTTGTTTGGCTCTTTCTCAATCCCAGCCGCAAGCTTGACTATCTTTGGTATTGCTGGTTTATTCAGCGGAGTTTTTCTATATGAGCGCATTTTTGTCCCCTGTGTTCGTCGATTCACGCACAATCCCACCGGTATCACACACCTTCAGAGAATTGGAATCGGCCTTGCACTCAACATGATGGTTAGCATTATAGCAGCACTGGTTGAGATCAAGCGAAAACAAGTGGCTGCAGCTCATGATCTGCTTGACAAGCCAAATGCTGTCATCCCGATAACCATATTTTGGTTGAGTCCACAATTTTTCATACATGGACTTGGTGAAGTGTTCTTGCACGTTGGACTAATGGAATTCATTTATGATCAATGCCCTGAGAGCATGAAAACCACAGCGATTGCCCTTTACTCACTGGCGTTATCATTGGGGGATTATTTGGGTACGTCAATCGTTGCCTTCGTGCACAACCATTCTAGTACGGAAGCCTGGTTGCCCAAAGGAAATCTTAATAAGGGAAAACTGGAAAATTATTACTGGCTTGTGACTGGAATCCAAGCTGTGAATCTCATCTATTATGTATTATGTGCTTGGCGTTATACCTATAAGCCCTTGGCTTTACACTCAACATGATGAGATGTGTAGAATCTTTGAGATATCATTTCAAGGAAAATGTAATTTAAGTTAAACATCCATCATTCCTGATTGGTAAATATGATATTTCCCTATGAAGCTTTTGGATGTTTTCAAGCATTTTTTGGAGAAAGATTTAATGTTGTTAGACTCGAAATTAGAAATTAATACACTCTAATCCGGATTTTTTTTTTTAAAAAAAAAATACATGTTATATATTATGTGAGATCTATACTATTATTACTTTGCATTCTAGTGTACGCGAGATTATGTAGATCAATAATTTCTATACAACTGGCTTTAATCAAACAGTAATATTAAAAACGAGAAATTAGAACACGTAATAGACTACCAACTTCCTGAGCTTCTACTGGGGTGGATTGGAGGTTGTGGTTTGTGACCAGTTGTTCACAATTTGTAAAGACTCGAACAAGTGAAATATCTAAATTTTTCGCTTCTTCTTACAAAGCTCTTAGACATGTCATTGGCTCTATCTGAAATGGAGACAGGGCTTCTAAGAGGACAAATAATATTAAGATCCTAGGAGGTGTATCTAGGCAGTGCGTAATCACACACAACGAAAAAAAAATTGAAATTTTTGAGCCCGGATAAAAGGAGTCCACATGCGCATTTAATCACTCAATTTTATCCCTCCTTTTTTAGCATTTAATCCCCTAATCTTATCCTTTTTTTTGGCATTTAACTCCCTGATCTTATCCCTTTTTTTTTGCACCCGATTAATTTTAAATCTTTTTTTTTATTTACTTATCATGTTAGCTTTTATATTATTTTATTTTATGAGATAATTTTTTATAACGATGGATTTAATTTTAGTAAACTTTACTATAGTTTAACCATTGAGACTTATGAATATGGAGAATCAGTGTGTATTTTCTCAATAATGAATAACCAACGTTTAGACAATGAATAATGTTACGCAATTATTGAAAGATGAATGATATAGAATGTATTCGTTTTATTGGTGAATATACATGTGTAAGGCAATGCGTAATATATGGTTACTGATGAACAAGAATTTCATTGTTATTTTTTGGCAGATGGTGTATTATCTTGTTAAGATTTTACGATGAGTACCTTATTTTAAGTAATGAATAACAAGTTGTTATTGATGAATAACAGATGATGTGCTTATTAGACGATGCTTCAACTATGAGGAATGAATAACAAGTTGTTATTGATGAATAACAATGCAAACTTGATGAATAATGATCTCATCCTAAATAAATAACAATATTATATTGAAAAAATAGCTATAGTTTTACAAGATGAATAATTATACTTTAATGAATGAATAATACACGTTAGTAAATGAAGAACTTTGATAACAAGAGTATATATTACAATGGGATAATGTAAATAACTAAACTAGCAAACTTCTAATTATGGGTTATACTAGCAAACTAACAAGGTCTTGAAAGATTCGTCGATGTTCGATTCCTTTATATTGATTGATTGATTTCAGCAACTCTGATAAAAATATTTTATTCCCGACCGATCGACTTCATCTTGATGAGCATTTCTTTGCTGTTGATAAAACAACAAGAACATTATAATAAATGAGATTTGACATTCAATCAAAACTCTGTTAATTATCAATAACAATGCTATTGAAGATGAAGAATCATTTTGAAAATGATGAATAAGCATTAACATTACATAAATCGAATATAGCAATCGTGCACATGTGTATATTAAATGATGAATAATAACATTATTGGTAATGAATAACATATCTTTGCATGATGAATACACATATGTATGAAATGAATAACACATGTTCACATGATGAATGGCATATATTAATAGGATGAATATCACAATTCTACAGGATTATTGACACATTTGCAACCGTGCATAGAATAATAACCCTTTACTAATGAATAACTGCAATGAATTAATAAATAATTGTACATAGATGATGAATAAAATCAGAGACAATGAATAACAATCCTTTGCTAATGAATAAATAAGTCGATCTAATGAATATCACAATGGCAATGAATAAATAAGTCGATCTAATGAATATCTGATGATGAATAATATATTCGCAGATGATGCAAACATAAAAAAAAAAAGAAAAACAACAACAAATGTCTGATGAATCATGCTATCGCTATGGTGAATATTGACTACGATATGATGAATAATATCAGTATATAGAAATAATTTATCGAAGTAACCATAAAAAAGATTAAAAATTCTAAAACATTGATAAAGTATTATAGAAAACTGATGAACAATGCATAGAACTCTTTGTCTTTTACAAAATGAGCATCATTTCAATGAACAAAACTGATAACTTGATGAACTAACATCAGTAATCGAGAGATTGCTCTTAGATTTACATAATCTAAATATGCGGTTGACCACAAATATAGGCTGAATAATGACATCGATTTGATGATTAACGATACCTAAATGAGAAATACTATCAGATCTACTAAGAATTTATCAAATCAACCATAAAAAGACGAACAAGACTAAAAAATGATGAAAAAACATTATATAGATGATGAATAACGATAAAAAACTGATGAACAATTCCTAAATCTATTAATCTCTTCCCAAATCAACCAAATTTCGTTGAACAAAACTATTAAGTTGATGAACCAACATCAGTAATCGAGCGAATAATCTTAGATCTACATAACCTATTTAAAAAAAAAATCATTTATTTAAGAGACCAGTAACTTTACCTCATAAATGGATCAGAATCCGAATAAGAATAAACGATCGTTAATTTCTACATAAAAGTTTCGGATCAAATATCAATATTTAAACATCATAAATGAAAAAATCAAGAAAAATTGATGAATACACGATGAATTTAACCGAAATTTACCCTAATTTTCATTGTCTGCCAACCAAATTAAATAACTGATTTAATACAAAATATGAGTTCTTTATCAAAAGAACCGTCGCCGGAGCTTTTTGTTTTTATATCGCCGGAGGTCTGAATTTCGAGAATCACTGTTTTGAAGATCTGAATCAGTGAATAAAAAATTTGCAGAGAGGTGGTTGCGGGAAGGTTTGGAATAACGAGAGAAAAAATAAGATCTTCAATTAGAGAGAAAAATGGATGAAAATGGGTTGAAACTGTTTAATAATTTTACTATATATAAGGCGCGTGTTGTAAACATAAATGATATTTTCCTGAAGATTTGGAAGTGTACTATTTTCGTGCGCGTGAATGCCACCCTAGGAACAAATTGCAATGTGCTCCTAAGTGCTGTATATTATAATTGGTTATAAGAGAATGGATTTAATCTGCATTAAATGGTCAGACGCTGATGTTACTTTCCATGCTCCTGCAGCCTTCCTCGTGTGGAGGTTTAATCCGGATTTATAACTGGAATGAAATCACTTATGGCTTTGATTAAGTGCTTCTTCATCTATGTAGTTGTAGTTAAATTTTCTTGAAAGATTCCAACCCGATTAAAAAAAAAAAGGAATTAATTTGAATATAATCTCGTCTCATAAGAAGTCATATATTTTCTAACTTCCATCCCCTGCATATGCATACTGTGTTTTGCTAGCAGTTCGACTTTGTTACGAGTTAAGACAATTCCTATATAATTTCTAGAGATTAGCTTTTGACATTTTCTTTTTTCCCAAATTTACACCAAAATAATAGTAACAAGATAATGTACTACTCCATATAAGATGACACTTGACAGGAGGAACAAAATTGCCATTAAATAGGAACAACAAGTCAACAACAACAACAATTAATAAGCACGAACAAATTGGATCAATTCTTCAACACTTGTCCAAGTTATAGACAATCTTCTAACACCAGTCCAACTTCATCAGATGAAAGTGTTGTTTATAATGAGGAATTGAGGAGGGAAGAGTTGGTATTCTTCACTAAACCCGACGAAAGAAGGAAACAAAGGCATAGGGCTTATCGAAAGGGGAGTTCGTAACTTCGTATAGATCATCAAACTATTAGTAAGTATTCTTCTGTATAGTAATTTAATTACTACTAGATTTTTTTTTAGCTCAGCATTTCATTAATATTTTCAAAATCATACGAAATAATGAATTTTTGACTTCGTTGACTTTATCATGAACTGTCTTGGCAAAATGAACAAGTAGACGGAAGTACGGAACAATTTCTATGCGGTTCCTCTTGCGAAAAAAGTCTTGTACAGTATTTATTTTAAATGAAAACGTTCTTGTAAAAAAAAAATTCTATTGGCTGGCTGGCTTTTTTTAATATTTGTTTTATGTTTGATTTCACAAGTTTAGCGGAGTTTTTCTTAATCATACTGAAGTGTTCCTTATTCAGTTTTTTTTTTTTTTTAAATGGCCTTATTCAGTTGTTATCTACAAATTTGAGATCGACGGGTTAATATTTTTCAGAGTGTATAAAAATTTCAATTTCTTTTCCCCAAACATATTGTTGATTAATTAAATGCAAATTGTCAGTAATCGACCCTTTTATTTTGGTTGAAAAACTTTTATCATTTTATTTTTTATTGGATTATTCGTTTTAAAATTTTTTTTTTTTTTAAAAAATATCATTTGATTGGTTAGTAATCAAAGAATAGTTTTATGCTAGGGGGACCATCTTGCGGAGAATAGCCCAACAACTTCTTCGTCGATGATTCTCCAATTTCCACTTACGTATCCTAAGTGCACTGATTCTTGATTGAGTTGCTTGCATCTATAAATATCAGGATATATACGGAAAAAAGAGGTTAAAAAATAAAATTAAAAAAAAAACAAACACGGAGATGTAGGATATAAAATTGTTACTAATGCTTATGTAAAATGGCAGCATAATTTATTGGAGAAGGACTGAAGGAGGACCATCTTGTCGTGTCCTCAACTCAAGTGAGTCCACTGCCAAAAAAAAAAAAACCCATTTAAGATGCCAATTATAAGTGCACATCAATCTGTAGAACATATTCGTTCAAAACGATCATCGATTATACTTCCATAGTGCTCGCTGCACCAGACATCAAAATTGGGATATCTATCTATCTATATACTATACTAAGGCAAAAACCAGAAAGAGAAATCTAAAGTTAAGGAGCACATGCCACATAGGATTTTTGGCATTTTCATAATTTTCTAGATATAAAAATGCACAAAACAAAATAATAAAAACCAAAAAAAAAAACGCAACTGAAAAATCCAAAACCCTATATTGATTC